GTCGTATAATTATTGTCTATAAATAAAACAAGCAGAGCAATCCGGAGTACTTAATATATACTGATATAATATCAATGCACCAGTAGTAATTAATAGGTATATACTATAGTAAGTAATAACATAATATAAAGAGTATATAATGACAATAGTGATAGTCATCAGTATATGCATAAATCAGGAGTAACATATTATTACTGACTATTTATTTACTCCATTATTTATCCCCCTGTTATTTACTCATGATATAATGTGCTGCTGATTCAATAAACACTAATGACCACGCCACCAATAATCACCGCAATGATATGTCTAGAATGAATTTCTCTAGCATATTCGTGTTTATATAGACGTAGCACGTAGATAGATTCAATATATCAATCTGATAAATTCTTGATCGATTCATTTGATAGATGAAATAGATTCTTCACGATACAATTAGAGCTACACGCCTGCTGAACGGTGTCGGTAGGCATCATACTTACGTCTCAGCTGTAGTGTGTGTTCTATCACTGTGTACACCGCGGTTACGGAGACGCGTGTGCACAAGTTCGCTTTCTGCCGGGGTGGAATAAAGACGCACGACACATGCACTCCGTAGTTACAGTGACTGTGTCCACCAGACGACATCGCAGGACAATGTAAACCCGGAAACGTCACCGATAATGACAAAATGACATGAATAATGAGCGCAACAGGGGGGGGGGTGAAGTGATTTTTTTCCATTTCCGTACCAACTTTTCATATTTACTTCTTTGACGCTCCGTCAAGATTTTCAGTTCTAAACGCGAATATAGATACTCGACACGCACTCTATATATATAGGTAGTGCCTGTGTCAACCAGACGACATCACCTGACAATGTAAAACTAGAGTCCCGCGTGTATGTGTGAGGGGTGGAATGCATGTAAACCGCCGGTGGCATATGTATCTTCTACACATACGCTCTAGCTTACGTACTCTAGCGGATAGTATGCTACGGTGAACCCGGAACCGTCACTGGATATGTATAGTGATGATCCTTTCAGCCCGAAGGCGAAACTAGAAAATCCGCTGCGAGAGAGAGAGAGACGGAGAAAGAGAGACGGAGAGAGAGAGGGAGAGACGGAGAAAGAGAGACGGAGAGAGAGAGGGAGAGACGGAGAGAGAAAGACGGAGAGAGAGAGCGAGAGACGGAGAGAAAGAGACGGAGAGAGAGGGAGAGAGAGAGAGAGAGAGAGAGGAGAGAGAGAGAGAGAGAAGAGAGAG